AGCGCACGAGGCAGTGGTGTGGCCATACAGGACCACGCTCACCTGAAGGCCGCGTTGACCTATTGGGGGTCACAGGAACAGCATCAGTTCAGAGATCGCTTTTCACCGACTCCAGCCACAGATGGGTAATTGCACTCAGGTGGCTGGGTTCACAGCGGAGGGGGCAAACCACAGCTCCTAGCTGCTCGCACGCCTTCGCAAACGTCTCCAGACCCTCGCACACACGCAAACACATCGATGCACGTACAAATACCGTGACACGTTTATGTGACGCCGACCTGGGCATCCCCTAGGTTTGCTCAGCCGAAAATGAGTGGCTGGTGTGGTCGTATTAGCATCAGCACTGGGGATATTAAAATGTGGCCAGAGGTGGGGGCTGGGCCACCCAACCCCCCGCTTGCGCAATGCTGGCCTTAATAGGTGCTCACAAACAGCACTCATACTGGCTCCGCCACGCAATTTTAAGATTTCAAGCTTGTTTTGTTTCACGAGGTGAAAACAAGAGATGCGTGCGACTCGCATCTGCAAGAGTAAGCCGGGTCACACAAAATGACAAGAGGAGAACTAACAAAAAGCACTGAATTTCAACAAATAGAAATCAGCGCAAAAAAAGCACTGCGTCACGTGGAGGAATCGATAATGTTGCGCCAACATCAAACAATGTTAAATAGTAAATTCCCTTGGCGCACAAGCCGGCTCGGTGAGATTATATTTCGACTGGTCACAGAACAATTTCAAATTAAGTTACAGAAACCTTAAATAGATAGAGCACGACGATTGTGCAAATAATAAAATAAAACATTAAATTTGTATTTTAATGGGAGAGTACTTCAAAAGCTTTTTTAAAGATATAGAATTTATTTTTAATGGGGCATTAGCAAAGAAGCGGGTAAGAATCATATGATGTTTTGTGTCATTGGTACGATCCACTCAGGGCACATACTGTACCAGGCATTAATAGGTGCTCGCTAACAGCCCTTGTGGTGGGAAACCTCTTTAAATTTCACTCGTCTAATTGCGTAAACTACTTGTCATTTTTTTATCTTAATTTTCAACAAGTCAGCGAGGTTCCTCGTAATTATACTTTACAAAGCATTTGTGGAGTTGTGCCCTCGGACCCCTCTTTCTGAAAGCATTTTGTAAAATGTTAAAATAATGACGGCTGTAACCCTAACAACCTCAAAAAATAAAAAAATGTAGTGACCTGTCACCATTGTATCTGCGATTATTATGAAATGCGCGTCACGTTTATGAGTTTCTTATATGCTCATTAAAAAAAATGATAGTGTTATTTTAAAAGGTCATCTTTCTGATTAAAAGGGAGCCTAACTCGGCTTTTAGTACCGTTTATTTCCCTGAGATCCCCCTGTCACCCCCCCCCCCCCCCGTAAGAGGCCAGTTTGTTTGTCTTGAATCACCCCATTAGCAAACAGGCCGGTTGGTCTATTGTCTCGACGCACTTCAACACCCGTAAAACGATTGGTTGGATGAATGTGTTGGTCGTAGACATCGTAAATGGGCAGGCAAACGGGAGTCAGACCATCGTGGGTGCTGGTCACATGGCCCAACTCTGTGCGCCAACCTCACTCGGTGATCACTGACGGGCACACTTATTGAGCGTTCTAAACTACTGGCGCGTGTGACATCTTATGTCGCCGAGAAAGAAAAAATGCAAAAGTGAGCCAGTGGTGGGAATTCGACGTTCCTATGGCAGGGACGAGGCGTTACATAGGACAACCAATTAGGCACTGACGTTGTCGTGACCACGGAGGGATGATGGGCCGAATAAACTACCCACCAGAATTTGAACTTGTAAACAACCGCCACAACCAACGCAGTATGGACATTTACACAGGGTTGTATAATATTATTATTAATCTTTGTTCTTTCCACACACTCCACGACAGTGCCCGCTGGTAATGTCACAGCCCCGCTAGAGACTTCACACCTTCAGCCACAAGGTTCGAGCCCCATTACCCCTGGCGACATCACAACATGTCACGCATGATGGGGACCCATCCATGCTCGTCTCGGAAGCACACATCGCAGAGGGCACTGAGAAGTACAGGAATGTAATAGCGGTGGGTGGTGGGGTGACGTAGTGGGTAGCTCACACCACTACGAACACAGTGACCCGAGTTTGATTTTGAGTCACGGCTAAAATTAGTGGTCAGTGATATCTAAAGCAACCTTTCCCATCCCCACCTACCCACACGAACCAGCAAGGTGAAGTATGGTCGAATATCCACCGCTATGCCTTCATCCAGCAGTGCAGTAACACGGGGCTGTGCATAATTCATTAACAGTACTGCAATGGTAGCAGTGTCCTGTAGCTGGTACGTCAATGTCAGTTTTAAACACATTCCTTCCTAAGCTTGAAAGCGTTTTTTCGTGAGCGCTGTCTGTCCATAATGGATGGGGGCATTATCCAATTTTATCACAAGTTTAGTATGACATTGTGTTGCTGTTGGGCACGCATCCTGTAGAATAATGGACGAATTGATCAAAGGGGTTGCTCAAAAGCTGGAGACACAAAGCTGGCAGAGTCACTATCAGATCGTCATTTTCCCCATCATCGCCTACGGATGAACTGCTCCCTGTGCGCCTGCCACGACCCGATTTCACTGCTGGAGAGTAATTCCAATGACAAATGCACGTTGGAAAGCAGGAAAAGTATACATTAATATCCATAATTAGTTTTCCTTTGATTACGTTTAAAAACTGGATTAAAATCCCTCCATGTCATGGATTGGCGCATTGTTTTTGTTGCTTATATAATTCCACCAATTGGCTTTGCGCTGCATCAGTCTCCAAGCAGTATGTTGATAGCAAGCAAAGCCAAAGTAGCATTGAACTGTGGTATACTTGTGCGCGAACAGCAGTATTAGGAGAATGCATTGGCCGCGTGTTCGTCTGTCGGAGAACGGAATAACCGATGTGTTTTCGACAATGAAAATGACAGCAGGACGCAGCAGGCCCACCCTCGCCAAAACCCGGGCGTCGTCACACCATGGATGCCTCCGGTGTTGACGGAACCACCGGACACTTGACACGGCGAAAATCGGGAGGGCCATCTCAGATGCCACGCACAATGAGCGGCGACCCATTAACAGGTCAGGTGCCCTCTCACTCTCACACACGCAGATGCAGATACAGCTGCACACCAATACAGCGGCGTGCATGTATATACATGTATATACATGCACGCCATGTATATACATGCATGCACACCACGCTTGCAAGGGATTCGCACACCCAGAATGCACTGCCAAGATCTGCTTGAGCAGGCTTCCGTGCACACGCTCATACACGACGATCCCCCATGCAGCCTCAGACTGTCAGGGTGAGTGCTGTGAGCCAGCACCACGCTCGGCTGCCTTTGTCTCCCTAGCGGCGATATTCAAAACATTGCACCAGGTACTCATTTCAAGCCGAGTTCACGTAGGGGAGTCCCAGGACCGGTTCAGAGAATCGCCACTGGTGTCTGTCGCGAGTGAGAATTGAACTGCTATCACCAAGTTTGTAGCGCGGTGGGCTAACCGCTGCACCACCGCTCTCTCACACCACACACAACTGCACTCACACACCAAATCAAATATTATTCCTTCAAAGCTTCATTCCTTCAAAGCTTCCCAGCCCTTCTATCCGTTTGATGCATGAACCAATGAATACATATGCATGCATTACAGCATATTGTTAAATAGTTAATTACATTGCACTGTGTTTGTAACATACATTAGGTACAAAAATACATGTGTTCATGTAACATGTTGAGACGATGCACAAATGACCTACATGTCCGTACGCATTATGTGGTAGAACACGTCCCATGCTGTACGTACATGCGTGTGTGTTCTAAGACGAGTGGCTATACATGTGTGGGGAGCTGTGGTGCAGTGGTTAGCGCACCGCGCCACCAACCTGGCCACCACCAGAGTTACATTCCCACCTCGGAACCGAAATGAGTGGTGAATATTTTAACCGATCCTGGCCTGGTCCTCCCCTAGGTAGACTCGGCCTGTGTAAACATCACCACTCGCGAGACAAAGGCGGCCGGGCATGGTGCTGGCAACCCACCCCCCCCCCCCCTCGTGTGTTCATACTGGCTTCATTAGGGTCTCACCAACAACACTTGCCCCAAAAGTATGTTAAGGCTATACGAGGCATCTTTGCCTTTGGGTATATGCACATGCATGCGTGTGCATACGTGCTCCGTACAAAATAACATGTATTGTTCATACCACGCATCTAATGCATCAACCACGTGCATGCATGTACATGCGTGCGTATAAATTATGTACACCACTCAGGCTAACGACCGTGACGAAGCTGGCCCTGGTGAGATTAAGAGCAGCGTGAGACCAGCTGAAGACACCGCCGCGTCCGTTAAAGGGCACTGCGTCTCACGCCCGTGAGATTCGTGAGTGTCACGCCTGGAGGCATCACACGCGCACAGCACCACGACGATTACCGTCAACGTGGCTGCATCTGTCCGTGATGCCCCCCTCCCCCGAGTCCCCATCACTGGGTCGCAAACTTCAACCCCTGACTTGTTTCGCCTACCTCCATTAGGGACCTACTTTATATACTGCCTATAACAACAACAGCAGCAAAACACTTCCTTTGCGCTGCGGGTGTCACCCACTTCAATCATCATCATCATCATGGTAGCTCCACCTCTTCGTGTTCCAAGTCAGCGGACTGACTGCAAGCGAGCGCCTTTAAGACCACACGAGGTGCTGTATCATAATCTTGCATTAAAGCATCCCCCCCTCCCACTCCCACGCAGTCGCTATTAAAATGTCCTTCACGTGAAACAAAGCTGTCACAACATTCAACAATAGAACCTTACAATCGAACAAAACACACAAAGACAAACACCACAACGACGTTCCGGGCAACGACCCTTTCTGCGTGCCACCGCCAACACCCCCCCCCCCCGCGGCCCCCAACCCTTTCAACTCAAAGCATCGACTTCTCGCAGCAAACAAAAAGGATACGGATTACAAACCATCCTGAGACACCAGCTCCTGGGCATCGTGCTCTGCTTCATGACGAAGAAGGCGACGGGCGCGAGCGCGGGGTAAGGTAGCTCCGGGTCTTCCGTTCCTTCTTCCCCAACATCTCCCGTCCCGCCACCACCGCCACCACCACCGACACCACCGACACCACCGCCACCACCGACACCACCGCCACCACCGGCCGCCCGGTCGTGCCGTCTCTCCGCCCCGGGCAACGCTCCTGCCCCGGGAAGCGGGCCAGCGGCGGGCAAACTTTCGCCGGCGTCCGAGGTCACGTCCGAGTGGTGGACACAACGCGGCATGTAGATCACGCTGCTGCTGCTGCTACCCACGACGCCACCGCCGCTGCTGCTGCTGGCGGCGGCGTTCACGCTGCTGCTCGTCTTGCCGGCGGTGCTGGTGGTGGCGGTCGAGCTGGTTGTGGCAGGGGCGGTGGTGGTGGCGGTGGTGGGGCAGGTTCCACGGCTGCACAGGCGGCTGCCATGGTCCCTGGGCGCGCCAGCTTCGGGTAATCGCTCCGCCATGGCAAGGAACGCCGTGATGACACCTGGGTGGCAACGGAGGAGACAGATGTCACCGACACACACGTGCACACCTGTGTAGACGTGTGTGTGCCACACGTGTGTGTGTGTGGATGCAGGGGAGAGGTGGGGTAGTGGTTAGCACGCTGCGCTCCGAACCCGGCGACACAAGTTCGAACGGTCACGGCCAATGCCGGTGACGATTACCTGAACCGGTGCTGGGCCTCCCCCTAGGTCGACTCAGCCTCAAATGAGTACCTGGTGCGGTGTGTAAACTTTGGGGATAGAAAGGTGGCCGGGCGTGGCGCAGGCCCCCCACTCCCTTATGCGTCGTGGCGGCCTTCATAGGTGTTCGTTAACAGCACTTTCCCCAAAGGTATGTTGAGGCTATACGGGGGATCTTTATATTTATGGATGCAGTGCCGGATTAATGAAGGGGGCTTTAGGGGCAGCAGTCAGGGGCCTCGGATTTTTATCCCCCCCCAATTTATTTTATTTTATAATGGTTGAAACGCAATACTGTCGGACTGTGGGAAATCCTATAGATCATTTTGACATAAAAAAATATATATATCTATAGCATCGCTGTGTGCATTTACAACTAGTTCTGTGCCGGAAATTTACATGCTGTAGTTTTATCGTTGTAACGTGGATTTACCTTTTCTTTAAAAAAAATGTTCCATCGCATTTAAAATCTAGAACTAAAAAAAACCCAAAGACGAACGATCCAATTGAGCGTTTGACATCGGAGATGGGTGCTGCTGGTGGTGGTGGTGGTGATGAAAGTCAAGTGACGGAAATGAATAGATCAAGGAGGAGTTTTGCCCCCCCCCAAAAAAATAATCCATCAGCACCGAGCCCCCCTCAAACTTACTGGGGCCACGCCTGTATGACGCAACAACCGCGGCGAGACCGCTAGCCCGAGTTGCACTCCACGGCACACACAAGTGGCAAATATCTGAGCCGGTCCCTTGCCTCGCCAAAGCCGACTCGGCCAGGAAGAAAATACCCAGGTGCAGTGGGTAAATATTCACAATACTAACACCGGGGAGACAAAGGCGGTCGGGCCCAGTGGTGGGCGAGACCACCGCCCCGTGCGCCGTTGAGGTCTTCGTAGCTGCTCGCGAACGGCACTTGCCCCCTTATTCTACGTGGCCTATACGGGGGACCTTTATTTTGTGCTAATCTAACGTGTGTGCAGCATCTCAATGTGCGTGTGCACATACACTAAGCGTCTGTGCGTACTGTAATATATTGAGGATCATACAGCATGTAGAACTTCCTTCGCCGCCGCACGTAGCCAGCCGTGCTAAATCATGAGCCAGCATCGTCTCCACTGCTGGATGAGGAGCTCATCAAGCAGTCAGCCCTCTCCCACGATGGCACGAAGCGACGATCCCCGTCTCGCACGAGGCCACGCGCCCCTTGACAGTCGACAAATGAAGACGTCGCCCCCAGCACGTGCGCGTCTCCACGGCCGCACGTGCGCGCGGGTCTTGCTTGCACAGTTGCTGGCGCATGGTTGTTACAAAGTCATCGCTGTCTGAACCCGGACTGCTCCCTCCCGCGAGCTCACAATTTAGTGACCGATTGGAGTCACGCGGAGAACAACACGAGGCGACATCAAGGCGACGTGGGCCCGCTAGGTGCGTCTATGCCGCGTGGAAGACTGCACGTGGAACCCCTTTCATGATCCCGTGACATACGCCGATGGATTTTGAAGGATTTTCCCAGGTTTCTCTTTCAAAAGACACACGCTATCTCTTGTTTAAATAAACGATAGATATCTCCGTGCGCGTGTTAACACATTCAGCCTGATAGCCCGTGGTAAGGGGGGCTGGGGGGTTGCTCTGTTCATGCATGTGTGTGCGTGAACGCGTGTGTGTGGGCGTGGGGAGCGGTGGCACATTGCTTAGCACACTGCCCCAAGATGCGGACGCTCCGAGTTCGAATCCCGGTCACGGCTGACATCAACGGCGGAGTGATATCCGACCCGACCCTGCCTGCGCCTCCCCTGGGTCGACTCAGCCTGAAAGGCGCGCCTGGGGCGCTCTGTAAACATCGGCGCTGCGGAGGCAAGGACGGCCGGAAGCAGTAACTTTCACACGCAGGGTTCGATTGTTTACCGCTCTCACAAAATTAACAGCGCGGCGAATACATCATGGCCAGCCAGTGTGGTCATGCAAGGACACCCCTGTAGCTGTTATTATATCGAGTAAGTAACAACGGATAGCGATGTCTAGCGGCTTGACCGGACAAAAATTCTGGACATCTGTGAAAAAGAGCTTCATAGCTCATCGGATTTCCCCCAGAATTGATATCCTGACTTGTCGCCACAGTTCACGGTGGGGGGGGGGGTGACTGCCTGGGCTCACGGATGGCGAGCATTACGCGTCCGTGCGGTGAGTGTTCAACACAAGACGTCAAGCAAATGCAGAACTTTGAGCTCACCCTTCCCCGAGAGCCCCAAAAAAACTACAACAATCGACCTTCGGGGACGGTCATTTTTTTTGGAGATTCAAATAAGACACGTGCAAGGTGCTGGGCTTCTCGAGTTGTAAGCAAGAAACTGTGGACAACGTTTGCGACTCAACGGTCACCGCCACATCCATAGTTGTAGATGCTTTATATTTTATATCTACACGAGAACACCATTAGAATACTACGTGTTAGGTGTATCCATAATACAGGTTTTTTGGGGGGGTTAGATCGCATAAATATGTAAATGTGTCGTTTAAACCCGCCACCACCCGACACAGCAGACTAGTAATGGTTGTCACGTAAACAGAACGTGGCCATCTTCTTGGTTCTTTCGGTAAAGTCACGTAGAAGGGAAGTAATAAAATAATAAAAATAAAACATAATAAAACAATTCTCACAAACGTGGCCAATTCGTCACTAGTACAGCACACCGGTGTGTTGGGGAGCCAAACCATAACATTTAGGTGTATATTGGCGCGGTGGTTAGAGCGTTCGACTCACTAAGTTGAGCATGTTTACGAGTTCAAATCCAAGTCAGCTGTCGACTGGGTGCGCGCCCCGATCTCGGCAGTTCTAGGAGAACACGGATGGCCGAGCCTTGTTGATTAATTGGACAAGAGACTGCCAATGAATAACAGGTGCCGTAGGCTTGAGCTGCAAGGCTACCAGGAGATGGCAGGACAGCAATGGATTTTTTCACGTTTTTCACTTATTTATTTACGTGACTTTACCGAAAAAAACAAAGAGTAGCAATGGATTTGCGAATAACAGTACCGTGGTGTATGTCTGCCGCTATAAGAGTGTTACCCGTGGATTTTTCTCTTGAAATAAAACAATCATCCTGCGAGATAAAAAAAAAATCATGATGCAGGACATTACATGTCTTGAGACTCTCTATAGTCGATACGTTCTGTACAACTTCGTGTAAACGCAACACGAGTCTTCCAATATGAAGAATGACGCCCGCCATCGTGATGTGCAATTCCCACCAGAAGTTCGGGCCCAAAAATAGATTAGCACAGTCCCATTGCTGGATTCATCCGATAGGACACTGAAATAAAATGCAATTCTAGTCTCAGACGACTGAAATAGCATCACAATTACCCCTCTATTTAAGGAGCGAAACAGGTGGACTTCTCCGCAAATCTGGCTGTCGCCTGCTGAAGCTAGTTGTAATTACTGGCGAAACGTCGTACTCAGATTGTAAATGTTGTGGCTTGGCTCTCCATCACACCGGAGTGCTGTACTAGTGACGAATTGGCCACGTTCTCTTTACGTGACAAACCTTACTCGTTGGCTGTGGCAGGTGGTGGCGGGTTTAACGATCCACTCATATATTTACGCGATCTAACCCACGAAATCTGTATCATGGATGATATTGGTCGCGAAAGCCTAAGAGTTAAACCGACTGAGAGAGTCTTGCAGTGGCGTCAAACTGCCGCACGTCAACATTTGACGCAACGCATGCCCAACTCCGGTGCAAGCGGGCCGAGTAGGTTGCTTTGTGCCGTGGACATTTAACCACAATATTTCAGTTCATAGAATCGCATTTCGTGCCGAGTGCTAACCCGCTAATAGCCCCCGCCCCCCCCCCAAATGCTGATAAACGTCCCCAATGTGTCTGTACACTGCAGTGGACCACGGTAATTGCATTGCGCTCGTAATTTTAGGTCCACGCAAAACAATGCAATCGAGAATGGGTTTTTTTTTTTAAGTGTGGCTCTGTGTATGTCCAAGAGTGTTTGTACAAGCGCGCGTGTGACTCAGCCTTAAATGAGCAGTCGATGGTGCGGTGTCTCAACATCAACACCGGGGAGACAAAGGTGGCTAGGCGTGGTGATGGCAGCCCACCCCCTCGTGTGCTGTGCCGGCCTTCATTACGTGCTCGCTAACGGCACTTGCCCCAACACTCTATTAAAAGCTACACGAGGCAGCTTGGTGTCTGTGAAAGGTGGAGCGATTCATGGCAACGGATAACATTGGTGGCGAGTGATATATGAATGTATCCTGTGCCACCCCTAGGTCGACTCAGCAATAACCGAGTGCGTGACGCTGTGCTCAATAGCGCAAGTTATAAGATCGAATGTTGTGAGTCTAAGCACACCGCCTCCTGAACGTGTGTGCCATACTGCTCGCCAGCTCCGAATGAAGAGAGTCCGCGAGAGCATTAAATGTTTCGATATCAAAAGTAAATCGAGGTGGACCGTGAAAAGCACGCGTTGCGTAATATCCGTTTTTGACGCATTCATGTCTGCATCGAGCTCGACCCCAGAGTTCGACGCCAGCTCCAGTTGCCCGGAGACTCACCCGATTTGTTCAGACACCCGTTGCATGCAATAGACCAGGGGTCGGTCTCGTATTAACATTGCATTGCGGCTCCCGAATGATTGATTTTGTTTCTGAATTCGAAAAAAAATGTCCCTCCTTGCTATTTTAGTTTGATCCTGAAAGAGACCAATTGAGAGCGTCTTGTTCTTCGTCGTGCTGAGCCAGGTGGCTCTGCGATTCAGAAAACTCGGCTTGCATTCGTAAGCCTTCCAAGTTA